GGTTCACACACTAGTTACTTTTCAACTTATAGACAGTGCACACAAAACAAAATCAACACTTACTAGACATGATACAACTACTAACAATAAAAAATAAAAAGATAATATGAAAAATTGTGCAAGAATAGAAAAAACAATGTTTTGTTTCAGAATCCAACATTCAGAATCAGAAGTTTTCTGTTTTCAGTGGAAAAACAATCCCAACAGACCAATAACTGTAAAGTGAAGAGTCACAACACAGACAAGATACACAGATGTGTAATTACAGCAGATTATAGTGCAAATGATTGTTCAGTTGAGTAATTACAATGAATAGTAACAGTCTAAATTTTTGACTGTATACGATGTTGCACATCCTTGAAACTGTTTATGTCTGGGAAAAAACATATATGCAGAAACCATCCGCTCTTTGCTTCCATACTTTATCACACGATATTAATTTTAAGGTTATTTCCCAACATCAGATGATTTGAGTCCAAAACTCTAACATTAAAGGCAGCAGGTGATTTATTAAAGTTGAAGCTGTGAATTTTACTTCAACTTTATTTTTACAAGCTTTGCTTCTTGTTTCTGTGTCGTCCAGAGTTTTTAAACCAGCCTGGATTACCTGTCAGAGTTCATGTCAGGGATAATGGTGAGTGTGAACTAAAACTGCTTTATGAGCTTTTATTTTTTTTTAATTTTTATTTTATTTTTCGTCATGATCCCTGCTGGGTGAAAGCTTATTGTTCTTTTGCCCCATGTTTGTGTTTGTGTTTCCCTGTCAGCTGACGAGGCCTTCCTGTCAGCAGTCATCAATGACACCAACAGCTCCACGCTTCATTTCAACCTGTCCCCTGCTTACATCCTTTATGCTGCGACCCGCTTTCTTCTGCATCACCATCACAGCCAAGGCTCTGCATGTTCTGGAAACACACACCGTGTGAGCTCTATCACCAACAAAATGGTGGCCATGGCCAGGAATGTTATCCAGGCAAGTTTTGTGAGATTTTTCTCACATTCACAAAACTTGGATGTGTTATTGACCCCAGCTGGAAATGACATGTTTACTAAAACCATTCTGATGAAATGTTGGAGGGTTCCAGCACAGCTGTGAAAACATTCAGTTTATGGCGGACAGGCTTTTGGTGGTAAAGAAGCTTCCTGAAGAATTGACAAAATCCTACACACTGTGCCTTTAAGACTGTGAGTTGAAACAATTAAAAATTAAACATCATCAACATGATAAACCTTCCTTAGTTAGTTGAACAAACACACATTTCTGTGTTAATGTAACTCACAATTTTCTTAAAATGATGTGACTTTACATTTTAAGAAAAACAAAATTTCAAATTTGTTTCAACTTACATGTTTAGAGATGTGACGTTCACGAACGATCCAAATCTTTTGAACGGTTCTTTACAACGAACGATTGGAGCCGAATCTCTGGCAGTAACGAGCCGTTTGTAGTTTTATTTCTTTTATTCCTCATGTAATTTTTATTTTTTCATATTTAAATTGCTCCCGCTTTGCTTTTTCATGGAAAACAGGCAGAGTTGTTGAGTACAGAAGCTCACGGTGAAAGGGGGAGGGGGGTTTTTCCGCTTGACAAACACATGGTTCCACCCACGTGACGGGATTATGTCATTACGTACGGCTACGTAATGACGTATTTCCCTACGTGATGATGTCATACATTCAAAATCGAAYGGCTCTTTTGAACAGCTCTATGAAACAAACGGATCCCCAAGATCCGGATCCCTTCAAAGAGCCATTTGTCCATCTCTTTACATGATAGATGGTGTTAAAAAGGTTAACAGACACCAGAAGGTGTCAGTACACCATTTATTAGAGTTTAAATTTAACACTCAGAGTTAATGCCAAACTCTTTTTAGTGTTGCGTTTACACTACTCAGTATTTAGTAGAAAAGTATAAAGGAGTCAGCTGCTGATACACATTCATCAGTTTTATTTACACTTTTCCTGAAGATAGAAGAGTTTGTTGAATCTGACGTGACATGTTCGTACGAACCCTTCATACGAACAAAAGTAAGAGAAATTTAGGATAAGAATAAAAAAATGTTCTTGCATGAGGAACAATGGGCCTCATGCAAGAACATGTTGGTATTCTTATCCTAAATTTCTCTTACTTTTGTTCGTATGAAGGGTTCGTACGAACATGTCACGTCAGATTCAACAAACTCTTCTATCTTCAGGAAAAGTAAATGAGC